ATTCGAGTATGTGGAAAGATGACATGCTTCACATGTTTGGCTCAATTGGCAAACTCGACCTTCATAATGTGGTTGTGTTTGGGCTCATTACTTGTGACTCTGTCTGTCTGCCTCAAAGTGTTTTAACGTTTAAGACTGTCCGAAACAGTGCTGCAATTGTCAAAAATATGTTATTTTTTCTACTTTGCTTTTTTACTTGCATTTTCTCAAAAGGGTGAAGCACTGATCGAATTGAAACTGCTCGATGGGCATTTCCCGCATCTCCTCAAATCTGTCGATGCGGAGAGTAAAGATCAGGTAAGTCTATAAATGAAAGTGAGTAGAGAGAGAGAGAGTCTATAAGTTGTACAACCAAGTGAGACTGCTTCCTGGATCCTCACTTTTGACCAGTTAGAGTCAATCGTTTGAGATCAATTAAAGCAGATTATGATGCTGATTGCACAGTTTACCTTTTTTTATTTTGAGGTAGAAACTGCATCATGTGCACGCTAAAGCCCGTCTGGGGTTTAGAGACTTTATGCGGTGACCTTTTCTTGTCTCATCTCGGAACAATTGGGTTTGCGGTGGCAAGAAGCTCAACTCATGAATTAAAACTTGCGGCAGCGTCCGTATACTCTCGCATGGTTCATAGGCAGAAGCGAGCCTCGCATGGATTCGGGTAGAGGTTGGCACGATCACTAGCCGAAGTATGTCATTCGGATAGAGTTACGGTCATTTCCGCTAATACAAATTTGGGTTTGGGTCATGAACTCATCGGACTTCGTATGCCCTGATTGCCTTTTGAATATCGTCCAATTCTCCGTTGGAACAGGGTCTGCCTTCTCGGCAAAGCCATGGGATCGCATCTTTTATGCCATTTGTAAAATGAGTTTTTAAAATTATAATGTTAATGTATACTACTTATGGAATATTAGTAGTATGTTTGTGATTAATATATGTTTTGCTTGAAGTCAGTTTGCCATTTTAACGCTTTTCACAACTCGTTCGTATTATCCACGGTAGGTGACTTTCTCGAGGTCGCCCCGACCGAATGATGACTACAGAATCTTGACCATTGTAACTTTACTTGGACAGAGGATAGTGTAAAGGTTTTGTGATTTAACCAAGGAAGGGAGAATTCTCAATAGAAACTGATCGAGGCCTAACTGCATAATACGACGGTAGTCATGATTATCCATTCCGTTGGCTCATAATTTGTATTCTTGAGGGACAGTGGCTAAAACTGAGATTGTGATTGATAATAGGGACGATATTAAGTCATTGAGAACCAGCATTTTTGACTGGTTTATTGCCCCAAAGTTGTAAAATGAAAAATCTTGTTGACACAAAACTCGAGTAGACCACAGTTTTTCACGAAAGAATACCACTTCCAACATTGAGCTCTTTCTAGTAATTAGTTGGTTTGAGAAGTGCACTGTGGGCTGCCTCCATGTTGAATTTGCTTTTATATTATATTATAATTGTTTGTTGTTGCTATTATTATTATATTAGTCTGACTGTCTAAGCGTTGATACGAAAATCGCAAAGTGCCGGGAAGTCCCCGGAATGGAGGATCGAGCAGAGGCTCAGCCGAAAGCGAGTGCAGAAGTGGCAAACAGGTCCGAGATCCATGCGGCCATCGCGCAGCCGGGAAGTGTTCAAGAACTGCTCGAACTGTACCAACCAGAAATGGCGAGTTCAACTGGTCCGGATGAAGAGGGCCGAATGGCCAGACTGAAGATGGACTTCGAAAGGCTTCTCCAAGACACAAAAGCATTGATCGTAAGTCAACACCTAGTCGGTACGAAGAGAAACTGGGTTTCCATGAATCTTCTCAAATAAAATTGTTTGGGGCACTTTCATTTGACATTAAAGAGCATGAAGAAGAGATTCGTAGGTCGATGTCACCAGAAGAGGACGACCTTCAGCTTGACACAGTCCACGAGACCTGCTTCCTCGTTTCTGGTGAAAGCATCATTCGACGGACATCATCAGAGCTGGGTCTCATTCCTCTAAAAGTCTCACGTCAACACGATGGCAAGAAGAATGTCCGGTTCTATCTTACCTCTTTTATAGACTCAATTAAGCATAATAAAATAAAAAGGGTAGATAGATATAAAGTGGATTGGTTAATTATATTTCATACGGGTCCTGCTACTTTTGCTCGAGTGTGTGCACGTGTTTGTTGTGTGTGTATGTTAGCGTCAATACGCAATACCGGTCCTAATTCAGAGTTATCAAAAGGTTAATGTCCGGCTCTGATCAACAAGGTCTACTAATCCAAGAGAAAGCCCTGACCAAGACTGCGTAAGTCCGTAAGCAAGTATGGTTGAGATGATGAGATGTAGGATTGTAAGTGTGTAGGTCGCGTTATGAAACCACTTGTCCTGACCTATCAGTCTGGGACTTCGTAATCTCGTACGTTCGGTTTGGTTGATGAGCTTACTCTAACATGTTGGACGAATATGAGTGAAGTTAGAACCATCACGGAGCAGACAAGTTGAGTCGTCCTCTTTTGGATGGCGACCCCACACCCTCTCTCTCTCTCTCGTAATCTATCAATCAAGCATAAGTAATTCCGAATCAACTCTATACCACCTTTCATCATATTTAACATATTGCACAATCTATTAATTTCAATAGCCTCTCTTATCTTTCTTTTAACCACACACGTATCATAATCTGCAAACTTACTAGTTTGAGACCATTCTATTTCATCTTCCGTTTCTAGCATGTGTCCGGCCCCTTCTGACCTTTGGACCCAGCTTCTTTTGCAAGCATTTTGAGTTCTCCCAATCTTTGTCGAATAGGTCGGCATGTCTCACCAACACACCATCGACGACATGAGCAAACAATCTTGATAATGCATAAAAAACATGAGATTATATGCACTACGCTTCCTTAGTTATTTACAATTAGTCTTAAAGTGACACCCTCTTTGTGAACCCTAGGGAGACCGTAAGTCGTGGGGACCTTTGCATCTGTCTGGAGTAGGGAATTCATTTTCCACTTGTCCGTTTCACCATCACTTACGCATACCTTAACAGCCTCTTTTAGCCTAGTCTTAAGTCCTTCTGTTGGATCGCTCAGCAAAGGCCTATACGTGTCATTGTAATTTAAACGGATTAGCATTTTTTCCATATAACTTGAACTATCTATGATTACCATTGCATACAACTAAAGAACTCTGCCAATTTTCGGTTATATTCCGTTAAAAATTTGTATGATTTCGTGAAATTGGTTGAGCAGCAGACGCTCTATGTACAGAAACATTCCTGTCCAAGGAGCTATTCAAGCTCTGATACAAACTCTGGTAGAACATCCAGAGATAACACAAGGAATAAGGCTGAGTTTAGTGTCCATAATTAGACTACTTAACCCATCCGTGAGTAGCACATATTTTACCTTTGATGGTAAGCTATACGAACAAGCAGAAAGACTAGCGATTGGATCTTGCCTGGTTCTCATATTGGCGGACAATTCTGTGGCAATACTGTAAGAAACACTTCCTGCAAGAGGCAATATTAACCCCCAAATTGTTGGTTGCATACATGCATAACTGTTTTGTCATCTGGCCTCATGGAAAAAACAGTTTAGAAAGTTTCCTACTTTCACTCAACCAGCGTGAAAAGACCATTAGGTTTACGATGTATCTAAGCCACAACATGGGTTTAGGCTAAAGGAGGCTGTTAAGGTATGCGTAAGTGATGGTGAAATGGAGAAGTGAAAGATGAATTCCCTACTCCAGAGAAATGCAAGGGTTCCCAACGCTTATGGTCTGCCTAAGGTTCACAAAGAGGGTGTCCCTCTAAGATTAATTGTAACTAATAAAGGAAGTGTGATGCATAAAATCTCACGATTTTATGCATACAAATAAGTAATTCTGCAAATTATTGGCTATATTCAGTGAAAAATTGGTATGATTTTGCAAAATTATTAGACCAACAGACAATTTCAGAAGAGGATAAACTAGTAAGCTTTGATTCTGTGTCCACGTACACAAACATTCCTGTGCAAGGAGCTATTCAAGCTCTGGAAGAACATCCAGAGATAATATAAGGAATGAGGATGAGTGTAGCTTCCATTATTAGACTTATTAATCCATGCATGAGTACCACATATTTTACCTTTGATGGTAAGTTATCCGAACAAGCACTTCCTGCAAGAGGCAATAATAATCCCCAAGTTGTTGTTTAGATACATGTATGACTATTTTGTCATCTGGCCTCATGGAAAGGACAGTTTAGAAAGTTTCCTACTTTCACTCAACTAGCGGGAAAGGAACATTTGGTTCATGATGGAAATGGAAGAGAATAACTTGTTACCCTTTCTGTATTTTCTTATTATTAGAGAAGAGATATTTATAGGAAGCCAACATATGTTGGCTCTTTGCTTAATTTTCTTTCCAACCATAGTCATATGAATAAGGTTGGAATTTTGAAGTCAATGATTCTTAGAAGTATGAGGCTAGCGGATAGCAAACATTTGACTAAATAGTTGGAATTGGAAAATAATTATACTTTATTGAAAACAATATCTCTTTACTGAGGAATACATTTTCAGACGGAGAACATTTAATATGAGATGTATTCACCCAATTTCGTTTAAGGTGATGAAGGACTAGTAAGAAGGAGAATGTTCCCACAATGATATGAGTTGAGCTGACGTTTCCATTCCATTTCACATAGCCTTGCTTTGGCAAAAGTTGTTCTCATCCAGGCTGGACTGCAGTTTCGACCTCGCATCGGTCTTAACAACACCCACAGCGGGAGTCGAACCGTGACAGTGCAGAATGAAATCTTGACATTTTGTTCGCATCTCATATTACTGATTTACTGGTAGTCTCGATACAATACTTAAATGCGATAAATAATGTAACGTAGTCGATTGTTATAGCAAATATACGTTTGTTTCATCGACAATCCCTGTAAAGAATTTGATATAACAAAAGGCCTGACCTTCTTTGAAATTCACATTTGCCCTGTGAACCAAGGGCA